ATGTCGAACACAGGCGAATCTTNCAATCTCTGGAAAACGCTCCTCGAGTACCGAAGTCAAAATTTCTTCGAAGACACTGTCAGAAACATAATCTATGTCGAACACAGGCGAATCTTGAATGTGTATAAACTGAGAACTGAAGCATTTTGCAAACAAATTCCTTCCCTGGTAGAGAGGCAAATTTAACTCAAGAAATGCAGTGATAGATATCCCCACCGTCCCCTCGGTATTACCAATCAGACGAACCAATCATATTGATTTGCGTTGTTTGCGAAAATATCAACCAATCCGAGCCCGCAGGTCAGATCCTGACCCTGGCGTATCCATGAAAGTGCGATTCAAGTCCAAGGTAACCAGAGGTTTTTCTTTCTCGCCGCTTCGCGACTCGTGTTTTCACTGCTTCGCGGCTCTCTCGCAGCTCGCTCATGCGGAGAAAAATCAAGAAAAGTCTCTGGGACCATGGTATGCATTCTCGGGTCCCCTTCACGAATTCCTTGTAATTGTATAGAGCGTTTTCACGTGACGTCAAAACGTAACATCCGCAAACCTCAGCGGGGGATGAAAGGACTTCCCATGGTGCTTTGGTGTAATCTGATCGTTTTTCATGATGACCACACCGGCAAATCGGATGTTTGCCGCGTAAAATAGCGTTGGTTTCGTATCCAATTTTTGACTTCGTTTCGACCTCTCGGTGAGTATTTTTGTTTTCCATGTGTTCTTTACGTTTTCAATTACTGCTTTAACCGTTCTTGATCAATAATCATTGTTTATATTCTTTCATTCAGGGCTATGTTTTTGTGCAACATGACGTGACGAGGTCATTGTTGTTCCAATGTAAGCGGGACAAAGGTCAGAACACACCAGCTTTTACGTTACGTTTGTGAATACATTTGGGCAATGAAGCATAAAATTGTTAGTATAAAGATCAGTAAGCAATATGTGCTTAAATGTATTCTAATGTACCCAGGTTTAATCATATAGTTATAAACGGTCAAAATTTACATAAATATGGCGCCAAGCGACCATTGCGCTGTCTTCTCCTGTTTCAGTTTTCGAGGAAATAATTGTTATAAATCGTTGAATGGCGCGATTTTTGGGCCATTTCGTCCATTTTATTACTTTTCTCGATTGGAAACAAGACGCATGGGTGCGTGAACTCGGGCTTTCAATATCGCACATCTGGAGTTATCTTTAGGGGATTGCCATATTGCGATTGTCACTATTGTCACGCAATTTCGTTATTGCTACTGTCATGAATAATTCTACTTGTGTTTATTTTTGTCTGCTGAGTGTAATGAATGTTGTTATGGTACTAGAAAACAATCAAAATAATACATTACCATATAGGAGTAGGTTCCTACAAATGCCAAAGGTTGAAATTCAAGGACTTTTCAATAACTTTGAAGGCCAAGTTTTAGAAAATTGAAGGACCGCTTTTGGAATGGTTTGCATAAGCAATTTTATAATTACTGAATATTATTTCTCAGCTTTTCCATGAAAGTACTGTAATTTTCAACTTGAAAATTGCTTAAGGAAAAGCATTGCTAAAATCAAGCCCTAGTCCTCAAATTNTCAACCCTATCGAATTCATCGTGAGTAGTGATAAGTTAATAAAGATGGTGAATTTTAAGCTTGGTCACCAATCATATACACCCGGACACCTATCATATATGAACTCAGTTAAATGACCTTGCTCTCCATGAGTTCTCATAGCTCAGTGGATAGAGCACCCGCCCGGTGTTTGGGAGGTCATGGGTTCGATTCCTTTCGGGGACTCAGAATTTTTCTTTGTCCCACGCTCGTGTCATGTTGATTAATTCACCTTCATATTATTTACATTGTATTGCAAACTTCTATGCGACTGTTTTAAATATCTCCTCGAAAGAAATCATTTCTAACAACACGAAATGTCGAAAACAAATGTTGAAGTTCGTATGAAATACTTGAAAGTACTGGTGAAGTGAAACTGATGATGAAATTTTCCCTGTGTTTGCACAATTTCTCTGGACTTTGAAATTTATTTCCTCGACTTTCCATGAGAAATTGTTTTTGGTGTTATTTCAGGCAAATATTTATATGTTTAGCCTTTAGAGAAGGACTGTAATATACTTGAAACAAGACGCCTGGCTGCGTGAACTTGGGCTTTCAATATTGCACATCTGGAGTTATCTTTAGGGGACTGCTACATTGTGATTGTCACTGTTGTCACGCAATTTTGTTATTGCTAGTCATGAATAATTCTACTTTTGTGCTTTTGTCTGCTGAGTGTAATGAATGTTGTTATGGTACTAGAAAACAATCAAAATGATACATTACCATATAGGAGTAGGTTCCTACAAATGCCAAAGGTTGAAATTCAAGGACTTTTCAATTACTTTGAAGGCCAAGTTTTAGAAAATTGAAGGACCACTTTTGGAATGGTTGGCATAAGCAATTTTGTAATGATTTAATATTATTTCTCAGCTTTTCCATGAAAGTACTGTAATTTTCAACTTGAAAATTGCTTAAGGTAAAGCATTGCTAAAATCAACCCCTAGTCCTCAAATTCAAGTACTTTCAAGGCCTTGAATTTTTTTATTTTTAAATTCAAGCATCTTCAAGGACTTTCAAGGCTTTTACAAACCCNAATCTGTTAAATTGCCGAATTAAATTACCGAAAAAGAAATGTACTTTTTAGCCCTGCACAAAAAGATGTGGGCTTACATGTATATGGCAAATAACTCAATATTTACCTCTGACTCTATTGGAGGTTGGTTATCAACAGGGAATCTGCCGTGAGCCATTATCCCTTCAAAAGGTAAAAATTAAAGGCTACTTGAAACATATCCACGGCTTCGCCTTATATTATATTCTATCTTGACTCTTCTATTGTGTTTCTATTTTGGACATATTAATTAATAAGGCTTTCGTTATTTTTCGAATTTCCAGTGTTGCAGTTTTTGTTTGAAACTGAACGCGTTTCTCTTAATAAACAAGACGCACGGCTGCGTGAACTCGGGCTTTCAATATCGCGCATCTGGCATGAATAGCCTACGTTATCTTTAGGGGACAGCCATATTGCGATTGTCACTGCTGTCACGCAATTTCGTTATTGCTAGTCATGAATAATTCTACTTGTGTTTATTTTTGTCTGCTGAGTGTAATGATTGCTGTTATGGTACTAGAAAACAATTAAATAATTTGTTACCATAGAGGAGTAGGTTCCTAAAAATGCCAAAGGTTTAAATTCAAGGACTTTTCAATTACGTTGAACGCCAAGTTTTAGAAAATTGAAGGACCGCTTTGGGAATGGTTTGCATAAGCAATTTTATAATTATTTAATATTATTTCTCTGCTTTTCCATGAAAATACTGTAATTTTCAACTTGAAAATTGCTTCAGGAAAAGCATTGCTAAAATCAAGCCCTAGTCCTCAAATTCAAGTACTTTCAAGGCCTTGAATTTTTTTATTTTTAAATTCAAGCATCTTCAAGGACTTTCAAGGCTTTTACAAACCCTGAGTAGGTAATGTATTTGCCTTACATTGCAAGGAGAAGGCAATTTGTTTTCTCTATTATTGGTGTGGAGTCATAGTTTGTTGCTAAATGTTGACCCAAGGGGAGTTGTCAGAAATCAGTTGATTAAAGCAATAGTACTGTTCAATAGTTCATAATTATTGTTTTTAATAGAAAAATCCCTGAAACCACTG